AATGTCAACCCATAGGCATGGCTTAGGTATGATTGACAGAACTGTGATTCATGAAGAAGCATAGTGATGTGTGTGTGTATGTGTGTGTGTGTGTGTGTGTGTGAGAGAGAGAGAGAGAGAGAGAGAGAGAGAGAGACTTCTGATTTGGTCTAGGCTTCAGCTACTCAAACGGGACTGGATGTATTGTGATAACTCACAAGAAAAATCAGAATTCAACAAGAATAAGTAATTTTTACTGAAGAAAGTTAGGAAGCTATAACCAAAATAATTACATAAATGCAGTGATCCAAGAGTTACCCTATTTATAGAAATATGGTTCACCTCTTCCTGGGTTTCTTTTCCTTACCACCTGATGTAGCAGATTGCTTGAGCCCTTCTTTTGAGTGGAGAGTCTTCTCGTTTTTACTGAGCACTACTTCTGACATCAGTGGATGGCCAGGCAAAGCATGAAGCTTCTGCACTTTGACTTGGAACTGGCTAATAGTTAAGATGCTTGTGGAAGCACATATTTCAGAATTGCAGTACAGGTGATTCCCTGGATGGCAAATGAAGGATGCAAATATACTAAACAAATGTACGCTCTTGTTAGAAACCAAATATTATCTCTTGACCATTTATGTTCCTGTCATGCACTTTTCATCCTAAGGGGTAGCAATGCTTGAAGGACCAATGTATGCTGTTGGGGGCCACGATGGATGGAGTTATCTTAACACAGTTGAAAGATGGGATCCCCAGGCCCGACAGTGGAATTATGTGGCAAGCATGGCAACTCCAAGGAGTACTGTGGGAGTTGCAGCTCTGAATAGCAAGTATGTGTGGCTAGTCTTCTCTTTCATCACAAACACATAGACTGTTATTGTTCTTGTGTTTAATATCCCTTTAAGCAGTCCCTCCACTACACACAAAGGGCATCTTTTTCTCATTAGGTTTATTTTTAGGATTCTGGTGAAATCATCCTAAGGGTGACATGGAACAAAGTCTTATTGGCAAATGAGATGTTTATATTTCTTTTTGTACTCTTTGTAGGGTTCCTGTCTCCTAAATTTCTCTTCCCATTGAAAGAGAAATTGTGTAGAATAGCAAACAGCTTACTAAAGTGCTCCTCACTTGCTCAGTCAAGGATGTGGAAAGGGTAGAAGAGTTCTGGATCTACTGGATCAAGAGTCCCTTCTACCTCAGCCCAAACCAGTGTGTGGTACTGGGAGTTTTTGAGTTTAATAAAGCAGGAAGGGGGTCCAACACTGACTTTTCCACCTGACACTGTAGACATATTTCTTATCCATGAAGGTTGACTCCATGAACCTCTTTGACCCCAGAATGCCCATTCTTCAGTAATGTAAAACAAATTGTCTAACTTTAAAGTGCAGTTGTCATCTGGGTAATATGGAAAGAAGCCCTAAATTGAAACCGGTTGATGGAGGCTAAATATGGAATATAAGGCATTATGGTTCAGCAGTATTGTACCTTTTTGTATCCAAAACTTTCCAAATTCAGCCTCTGGCATTTCTGGGCAGGCTGACATAGAGTCCTATCTGAAATCCAGCAGAAACACCGCCCATCAGTGAAGACTATACTGGATCAAAAGATAGTCTCTTGTATTCTTTACTGGAGTTAGCTCTGGGAGTGGTTTGTCCTCATGTGGTTTATTACCATAGGTTGTACGCAGTCGGAGGGCGAGATGGTAGCTCCTGCCTGAAATCCATGGAGTGTTTTGATCCCCACACCAACAAATGGAGCGTCTGCAATTCAATGTCCAAAAGACGTGGAGGAGTTGGTGTTGCAACCTACAATGGGTTTCTGTATGCTGTGGGAGGCCATGATGCACCCGCCTCAAATCACTGTTCTCGACTTACCGATTGTGTAGAAAGGTATGAGCTAAAAGTAAAAAAGTTGAGGTTGGGAATTGGGGTTGTGCTATGAAACGCATCTGTTAGATCTCAACAAATACTGGTCTTATTAAGTTTCTAAACAAACCTACAGTTGAATGAAGCAATGATCCAGCTGAGCAACATTCAACAGAATAGAAAAGGAGAAAAAAAATATCCTATTGTACCAAATATATGTATCTTTTCTTAAAATGAAGCCAATTGTTTTATATGAAACTCATTATCCTCTTCTATTTCCTATACTCAAAAGGTCTTTTTAGCTAACTATAAATGCTGGCTTTGAATGATTACCTGATAAATTCTCACACTTCTATCAAGAGTTTGGAAAGATTCCTATACTAAGAATAATTAAAATATGCAAATAGGTAAATTAATATGTGAAATGGGCAAGTAATTGCTGAGCTAGTCCATGTCACTAAATGTGATTATGATTTACAGCAGCTGAATAAGAGATTTTGCACTGTCTGGGACGTTTATGAGACATCTTTCAAGCAGAAGGAACATCTTGTGAATATCCAACATTTGCCACAAACTTTCATCACTTCATACAACAGAACTGGCAACGTGACCGGACTAGGCCATTAGTCTAGAAAGCCCTCTAGTGGTTGAAAAAAAGAATACTCAGATATCCTATTTTCCCCTCTATTAGTAAAAAGAAAGATCCTACTATTTCCACGTACCCTTCTGGGCAAACATACTGAAGTGGTTTGCCACGGCCTTATTGCAATTTTTTTTAAAAGCTTCTCACTTGAGTCTACAACCCTGGTGTTTCCATCCATGTACTTACCTAACCTGACCTGACCGTGCTTAGATTCCCTGCTCTAACTTCCTAAAATAGGTTTTTCATCTCAGTTGTTTTGGTTGGGGGGAAAAGTATGGGTAAGGAGGTAGAGGTTCATAGGCAGGTGTTTTCTGTGGGTGTGCCTACAGTTTGGAACAGCCCATTCCAGAAATTTGATTTGTCCCCTTATTCTACTGGCTTTCTGTTTGCTATTAAAAACTTGGGGAGAGGGAATGACTGATTATTGTATGATTGTTTGATTTTGATAATTTCTGTTTATATTTGTAATGTTTTGTTATATCATCTATCTATCTATCTATCTATCTATCTATCTATCTATCTATCTATCTATCTATCTATCTATCTCCATCTCCATCTCCATCTCCATCTCCATCTCCATCTCCATCTCCATCTCCATCTCCATCTCCATCTCC